TGGGTGCGGTCAGGCCCCCCGAGCTGGGTGTGGGCAAGCATGACAGGCTGCTCCATCCCACCCCACCAGGTCCCCCTTGCCAGCACCTGCAAACCTCGCCTGCCACCGGCCTTACCTGCCTCCTGCCAGGGGACATTTCTGGGCATCTTCCCGTTGGGTGCATCACTGCTCAGAGAGATGTTCTTCTGCAAAAGAAGAGGGACCAGCTGGGATCTGCCCCACACAAACCCCTGACCCAAACCCTGGTGGCCCTGCAAGCCAGGGTAACCCCAGGGACACAGATTCCCACCCCGGCTAGACAGCGGCCAGCAGTCAGCGGCTCCTCGTCCTTAGACGTTGCATCTTCACGGCCCTACAATAAACAGCTCTGCTGCAATGGCTTCAAGAGCCTCCAAATGAGACAAGACACCTAAGGCCCAGCTTAAGTCTCAGTGCCACACTTCTGAGCCTGGATCTGCACCGATGTTCAGGCTACCTTATGACCAGAGCTCTTAGAAAGCAAACGTGGGGCTCCTCCTGGGCTTGGGACTGCTTTGCCCAGGGAACAGCCATCCCAGAGCAGCGCCAGCATGGTGGGGACACACGGACATGTGACACCCATGCGCTCACAGGCAGCATACGCAGGACTGAGAGGAGATGAGCTGCTCTCCACAGCGGCTCTGGAGCTGCTGCTGCCCTGCAGCACCTTGCCTACGCCCCGAAGGACCTCACTGTCTGCATCCCGGGGCAGGGCAAATCCCAGAGCTAGGAAAGGAGCAGGCATCTGGGGAGCGCTTGCCTTTTTCCTGCCCTTTTCCTTCAGCCTGGCCTTGCTCTTGGAGGAGCAGACGTTGTGCTTTGTGGACTTGAAGGTCTCCAGCCGCCTCTTCATGTTCTGCCGGAAGATTTCTTTATCTTGGCGCTCTTGTTTATCTGGAGAGATGAAGTGACGGCTGTAGCTGGCCTTGTACTGGCCGAGGGAGAGGCAAAGAGACACAGGGTGAGCAGCTGGCCCCGCGGAGCATCCTCCATCCCTGCTTCTCTTGCGGGTGCTGCTACCCTCGGGGTCAGCAGTGCGTGGCAGCGTCCTCCTGTTCCCGACGGCTCCGCACCGTGTCGATCACCTGCAGGTCCAGGCACGCGCCGCTCCCGCTCTCCCTCCTGGGCGGGAGATGGAGACGGAGGGACCATGGAGGTGGAGATGGAGACGCTGGGCTCTGCGCCTGCATTCTGCCAGCCCCCCCGCCAGCCCTGGCACAACCCACCCATGAGGAAGTGGGTGGCTGCGGGGGTCCAGCGAGGTCTTGCCCAGGGGTTCGGAGGGATGCTCGTACTCACAGGAGGTTTGTGACTGACGACTCCGACATGGACGTGCGGCTGGGCATGGAGGGCACTGCCAGCTTGGCGGCCGAGAGCACGTGGCCACCCTGGGAGGTGGAAGGGCAGGGCTGGCAGCGGGGACCCAGCCGGGTGTAG